AAATTATTATTTTTAAGTCAAAAGGAACTTTGAAGAGAGCTTCCCACAAGCGCCTGGCCTCAATTGTAGAAAAGTTTAAGCCTAGACCATTTCTTGGGCTTTCAACTTTTAAGTGTGATAAAGTGGAACCGATCTTTTCTTCTTTCACTGCTGAGGACAGAACCGGGACCACACAACCTCTACCACCGAGGTACATCCCTAGGTTAGGGTATTGTTTAATTCAGCCATCTGGATTCAAACTGTCTCAATTATAGGGAGAGGCAAATATAATTTGAAACAGCCAGTGGAGAAAAGTGTAAGTTAATTAGTGGCAAGGAGCAAAAGATGTGTGATTATCCCCTATGGGATCATGAGACCATCTTGCACTGTCCCGAGCTTTGTACTTATATGTTCCCTCCCACTCCCTCACCCTGCCACACACACACTTGTGCCAACAACACAAGCTAATCTACATGCACACCAGTTTCCTACGTAACGAAGTGTGAAAACAGAAAGTTCCTGTTTCTGTTACAGGCATCTACTGTGGTTTTTTACATCAGGCTTCACAAGTTTCTTTCTTCTTTGCAATAATTCACTGTGTAAACCAAAGTCCCCTAGGGGTGGTGCTAGGTGAAAATCTGGGTAATGGATCCAATGAACTCAATAATAAAGCCCTTGCCTCTTGATATTTTTAACTTGAAGGCGTTATGTGCTGTTTAATTAGATAATGTCTCTTAGTTCTAGGTAAATGGAAGGTGATGGATGGCTTAACTGCTACACAAACATGTTTATGCCATTTACCACCAACTCAGCCCCGAGTGGGAGGAACTTCTGTCATTTGTGTCCCAGTTGTAGACTCAGGCAAGAGATGCTTTGTGTCACTGGGAAGTGAGCCGCATGCTGGGCAGCCATGCTATTCATGAGATCAATCTGTGGTCTGACCATAGGCGGTGTCCTTATCCTGCTGCTGACATAAGGTGCCTGTCATCAGTCAGATGGCAGGAATGCTGGAAAGGGCCTGAGCACACCGGATAACCTAACCTGAGCTGTGGGAGGCAATTAGGAGAGGCTGGGTGGAGAGCCCAGTGGGTGAGTGAGCACACGGCTACGCAGGAGCATAGTGTGTGAAAGGTGGGGTGTGAGGTCAGCACCGATGCACCTTTACATCAGTGCCACCTCAACTGACCACCGCTCTGACATGGGACTGTGCCAGTGCTATACAAGTCCAAGAAGTATTAGAGCTCAGGAGATAAAATACTTACTGTAGGTAAAACTTTTATTTCAAACATAGTCTCATGGAGCTGCTTCTCTTCTGAGGTTTTTTTTTTTTTTTCACTAGAAAAGATTTATTGGGAGTTGGGTTCCTTTGACAATGCTTGATCAGCCCTAGAAGATTCACAACGCCTCTACTGCCTTTAAAATGATACATAAAACAGTAAGTGTATGAGTTAAAGTTAAATTTTCTGGGCAGAGGGTACACATCTTGTAAAATAAAAAGTCAAGATATCGGCTGTCTCCAAACTATTTTGGGGTCACTGGTCTGGAGGCCAGTGGAACCTATCCACCCTTTTGGATCATGACAGAAAGAATCTTTTAAAACATTTTAAGTGCTTCAGTTTTAATAAAACATGTGTGCTGCACATGATGTCTACATTTCTTGTGTAGAGTTGCTACATATACACATCTGAATTCTTTCTTTTCATCCCTTTTCCCTCTCATTCTTCCCTCTTCCCTCCATCTTTGATCCCCTTCCCACTGAGAAAGATCTAGCTCCCTACTTTCTGTAATCTTTTATTTTGCTTTTTATAATTTGAGGTTCTCATATAGAAGAAACCATGCAATATTTAAGGCTTTGTCCAGCCTTATGTGTGTCTGATTTATTTCACTGGGCTCAGGAATTGACAGGCCTTTTCCAAACTCCACAGAGTGACCCTGTCTGCACAGAGCAATTTGACGAGAACCAGTCCTTTATTAGAAGCTTGTTTATTTTTCTATCCTATACACCAAGGTATATGGTTTTTTTTTTTTCCGGTATCAGGAATTGAACTCACAACCTTGCACTTGCCAGGCAGGAGCTGTGCCACTGAGCTAAATCCCCAGCCCCTCAAGGTATATGTTTTAAGGCAGATTTGAGTTTTCAGTCCATAGACATGTAAGTAGACAGGCATATCCAGAAGAAAAACAACTATGGACAACATCAAGAATTCAGTGGCAGTTCACCGTTAGTTAGGGCTGAAAAATCAAGTAGCAAATATTTTCCACTACAGTGGAGCAGCACTGCAAACTGTTTTATAGCTTCAAATTTGGATTGATCATAAATCTCCCTTTCTATTGTATTCTGCTCTTAGTAGGAGGTATATATTTTTACAGTCACCCTTCTTTCCCCCTTGGTACTGGGTACTACCACAGGCCTTTGTACTGAACTATATCCCCAATCCTTTTTCATTTTTTATTTTAGATGGGATCTTGCTGAAGCACTAAGTTGCTCAAGCTAGACTTCCAATCTCCCCGCCTCAGCCCCCCAGAGTTCTGGAACTACTGGTGTGTGGTGCCATTTCCCACTTGCATTTAAATTCTTGGTCCATTACCATACAGTTTTTAAAGTCTCTAAATTGTTACTGTGGCATATCTGATCTTTTTACTCTAGGCTCAGAGGAAGCAACCAAGTCTTCTACTCTGACCCCTCCTTATCCTGCCTTTGCCCTGGATATTACATGGACAGTTGTCTATCTTCCTCCATGCACTTCCTTCTTGGACTCTCAACTTTTACCTTCTTCATAGGACCACCCTTCTTTCATCCTTAGGTTATCATATTGAAAATTATCACTAATCTTCTGTGCTCTTTGCCTTTTAAATCACCTATTAATATTTTCCATTCTCCTGGTCCCCACATGTTGGGAATAAATAAGTTTCACCCACTGTTTTTGCTTCCCTTGTCATCTTAGCTATGCAGTCTAGGTATTTACAAGCTGTTCTGGAACTGCTTTCTTACAAGAGACAGGGTGTTCTATGGCCCCCATCTCCTGTCTCTGGCCCTGCTGTGAGGGCCATGCAGACAGCTTCTGTCCCTCACACCTTCACTACCCAACATTGCCCATGGTGAAGCAGCAGCTCAGCAAATCTTTGTTAAATGCCAGTGCTCTGTGGACCTTTCCATACAAGTACTTCCTATCACTCATCCTTCTGTACTCTTGTGCCTCATCTTAGTCCAATAATGACCTATCTCACCATGTTACTATAAAACATTTATACCACTATTTTCTCTTGCTTCTTCTCTTCCAGTGCATCCTGCAGAGTATTATATTACTGAAGTCTTCTTTGAGATACACCCACATCTCCCCTTTGATAACTGCTCCAAGCTCAATCTCCTCAACTGGTATTTTTATCTTATTCATGTATTTATTGGGGGTTTTATTTTTGAGACAGCCTTACTATGTAGTTCAGGCTGGACTTGAGCATACTATGTAGCCCAGGCTGGCCACAAACTCACAGCAATCCTCCTGACTCAGCCTCCAGAGTGCTGCAGTTAAAGGCATGCACCACCATGCCTGGCATCTATTGGTATCTTTAAACTGTAATTAAATGCTTCTAAAAGTTATAAATGCACAAGGTGAAACATTTTAACGAACAAAAGTTATCAAAGAAAGGTAAATCTGTCTTATATCCCCTCCTCCCAGTTTTCTCTCCCACAAACAACCACTGTGAGCAGTTTCTTAAATAATTTATCCTTGTAGAACAATCTGGTGCTGAAGTTTATCATGATTAGACTGCAGTTGCCACTGTGGAGGGGGTCCCATCTTGAATCTCAGCCAGTTGGGCTGGGGTCTTGTTTACCTGCCAGACATTTCAAGAGCTGGGCTATACCCTCTGTACTCTTTGACATGGTTTAGAATTTGCTTCAGTCCACAGCGCTGGCATCATCTTTGCTCTTAGTAGATTTTCTGGGGTTTTCAGAGGCTGTGACCTGAGCAGGCATCACACTTCCCTGTGGACATTGTGAGGGAATCTAGTGCTGTTCACTTTCACTGGGATGAGCTTTCTCCTTGGTCAGCCCCCTAATACCAATCCTACTCATTCTTTCTTTGCTTTTCTACACCAACCAGAAATTGAATTAAGTTTAACTGTTTTGCTTCTGACCTATGGTGGACTGTGCTACTGTGAACAGTGGTGGGTTTGATGTTGATCCAGCTTGTAGGAAGTGAGAATGAAATGATAAAGTGTCCCTTTGCTTCTGCACCATTACTTCTTTGTCCAGCCTTATTTCCTAAGTTCAGGTGTGACGAGCTCATTAAATGATTTAATGCACATAGTGTATAATATGAGTAGTAATAGCATCATCTAGTGTAGGGTGCATAATGACATTGTAGTCAGAGTGCAATTCCTATTCAATCCTGGGAGAAGAGCTACTCTGGGAGCTGTTCTGCATCTAGCTGTGCACTAATGACTGCCTTGGACTTGGAAAATATTCCTCTAACGATATTCATAATCTTAAACACTGCTTTTGGGGAATATATAAATTAATGTTTTAGTTAGATACAAAGTAGCATAAGGACAAGTAGAAAACTTTTCTTTTTTTTTTTTTTTTTTTTGGTTTTTCTCCGGTAC